TCAAGGAATGTTGCTTGTCTCTCAATCTAACCCAGCTGATCGACTCTCCCACTAGACCAAACAAAAACCGTCCTGAAAAGTCCTCCATCTTAGACCTGTTTCTAACAAATATGCCTCACAAATTCCCTATTACAGGTGTATTCACCAACATTTTGAGTGATTATTGCGTAACAGCGACTCTCAGAGATATTAAACTTCCACCTTCTAAGCCCAGATTAATAAAAAAAAAAGGGATCTGAAACGTTTTTGTGAACAGTCATTCCTCTGGGATCTGTCTCACTTTGACTGGAATCATATTCTATTAATTGATGACGTGAACTCCGCTTCCTGGCAGTAAAGTCCCATCTGAAGCTTAACTGACCTTTTTACCTTTTTCAAGGCTGGTCAGCTTGTGGTGAAATGGCTGCCTGTGGCTGGTGGCTGTATGGCAAGCCATGTTATCATTTAATTGGATCGCTGCTGATCCTGACCCAATTAAAAGCCTGACACCAACCCGGCCCGCACATCCAGCACATTATCATGGCCCGCCCCAGATTCGGATTGGGTGGAGTCAGGCTTAGGGCTCGGGTTAGAAATGACAGCTCTAATTCACTTTGGTGGTAATGACACCCGGTTACGCAACAGAGGTCACTAAAATTAATGTTGTTTCAGTGTTTAACTTTGTTAAAACCATGTCAAACTCCATAGTTTTCTCTGGCCCCCTCCCCAACCTAGTTTTCTCTGGCCCCCTCCCCAACCTGACCAGCGATGACATGTTTAGTCGTATGTTATTGTTCAACCACTGGGTGTCCAGGTGGTGTTCTTAAAACAAAGTGGGCTACGTAGATAATTGGAATGCTTTTGGGGGAAAACCCGGTCTGATGCGGAGACATGGCATCCAGCCCACTTTAGGTGGAGCTGTTCTTCTTTCTAAAAATGTGGCCAATTTTGTTTGTCCTCCAAATTATTGACAACCCAGGGTCCAGTTCAGGAAGCAGAGTTGTAGTCCTCCATACCTCTCTGCTGCCTCTCCTCTGTTACCCACCCCCACTGAAACAGTGCCAGCTCAAACTCATCCATCCATCCATCATTTTCTTTACCCGCTTCTTCCATTTTGGGTCACGGGGGTCGCTGGTGCCCATGTCCAGCAATCACTGTGCGAGGGGCGGGGTACACCCTGGACAGGTCGCAAGTCCATCACAGGGCTGAAATTCAATAAACCAAAAATCAGCTCTAAGAACATAAATCATAAAAATCTTGTTAAAATAAACACAGTTACTTTACCAGAACAAAAGAATAAAATGAGTAAATGTGGATTATTGAAAATCATAACTCTTTCCTCTTAGTCTCTGTTAGTCAATGATCTGATAACTGATCAGCATATGGATTTATTCTGACAGAAACCTGGCTACAACAAGAGGATTTTGTTAGTATAAATAATTCCACTCGTGCTCATTTTTTTAACTTTCATGTTCCTAGAACAACGGTCGAGGTGGAGAAGTAGTTTCTATTTTTCAGTCAGGATTGATTAATACTAAATCAATTGCTAGTTATAATTCTTTTGAGTTGTTGTCCCTCAGTGGTGGTAAAGAAATGTAAAGCATCTCTTCCATTGTTATTTTCCTCTGTCTTGCAGTGCAATGCAGTAGAGAGCAGTGACAGATGATCTGGTCAAGTTCACCAAGTTAAAGTTGGTTTAAGTTTCTGGTAAAGAAAGTAATCAGAGGCAGCTGGCTCCTTGGTCCAATTCTGAGTCACTTATTTTAAAACAGGCGTCTAAAAAGCTGGAAAGATAATGGTGCTCCACTAACATGTAAGTATTTTATTTAACGTGAAGAAAAAGCCTGCTAACATACAATAAATCTCTCTGTAAAGCTGGCACTGCTTATTATTCATCTTTAATAGATGAGAATAAAAATAACCCCAGGTTTCTGTTCAGAACTAAAGCTAGACTAATGAAAGTCCCAGCTCTTTTGAGCCATGTATCCCTACAACTATAAGCAGTGATGAGTTCATGACATTCTTTATATATAAAGTTATTTCCATTAGGAACAAAATTCAAACCATCATTCCTACTATTGTCCCTGATTCCCAGATTTATGGTTGGTCTCTCTCGCTCACACACACACACACACAGGTTTGTTTTGCTATCTTTGTGGGGCCTTTGCATTGACTTCCATTCATTTTTCATTCATTTCTATAGCCTAACCATGACCTTTATCCATAACCTAACCATTACCAGTACATACCTAACCCTAAACCTGACACATCCTCAATTCACACCTTAGTCCTAAACCTAGCCCCTAACCCACCAACGGGACTTCTTCTTATGGGGCCCGGGCTTTGGGCCCCATAAGGAGCAGTTGGTCCTCACAATGTAGTATAAGTTGGAAAAATGGGCCTCACAAAGTAGCATAAACAAGGACACACACACACACACACACAACCACCTATTCAAAAACAACAGTTTTTTGCTTCTTTGACTTTTCACTTTATTTTTATTTTAGAAAATATTGTGATATTTTATTAAAAATGTTTCAGAAAAAGTTAATAGAGGGATCCAGCCAGTAATATGCCCATTATCATTAAAGGCAAAACTCCAAATAAATATGAAAAACAAAATACTTTTAAAATCTTCCTTATTCTCACTGCTTTTGGAGTAAATGTGGCTTGAATGTTTCTGATTGTATTTTCATTTATGTAATAAGATGCAAAATGTCAAGAAAGTTAATGGTTACCATTAAATATTTACACTCATTCAATTGATTTGTATACCAAACTTTCACAAATCTGGCACAATAATTTACATATTGCTAGCATAGGACAATTTGAAATATCTAACATGTAAAGCTTTACAAATAAGTAATAATACAAAAACACTGCCTTTTTATTTAGTGTGTAAAGAATACATTGCTGGTCACACTGTAAGCTCAAGCAAAGCTGAGATAAAAAGACTTTAAAAAGCTCACAAAGAAAACAATGAAAACAGCTCGAGAAGATGGATCTGGTCAACAGGATAACACACCCAGTCAGCAATTGGTAAAATCCAGTAAATGGATTAACAGATCTGGTCAACATGATGACAAATTAGTCAAAAGGATAACAGGATGTGAGATTTAGTCAACAGTATGCTGGATCAATTAAAAAGGATGCTAGATCCAGTCACTGTTAAGCTGGATCCAGTCAACATGATGTCTGATCCACTCAACATAATATCAGAATCGGTCAACGTGATGCTGGATCCTGTTAACGCAAAGCTTGATCCTGTCAACATGATGCTGGATCCACTCAATATGTAGTCCACAATCAGTCAACATAA